CTAAATTGCAGCATGAAGACGATTTGAAGAACTCTAACGGTAGATTCACAAACTAATTCCGCCAGATTTAACCCTTTGACCCCTGCGTTCCTGAACAATTTTAACCATTCTGTCTGACCTCCTGAGTCAAAAATCGCAAATAATTGGTATGTTATGTTTCACGGTAGATATAAAAAATACTTACAAGTGTATACGCGCCGTTCAACCGGTAGTTGGGCATTACGTCATTTTTCTCTACCACCGGTAAAGTAGTGGTCAGGCCTCAAAGGGTTAATATACTGTAATCGTGGGGGGGGGATCAGTTTAGTACTTAATGACAGTAGAAAAACGATCTCTTACTTTATGTCCAGTAGAACCTTATATGAATGTCAAACATGATTCGAAGAGAGACATGGTCACCGAAGCATGCGACAGACATGACACCAAAGGAAGGTTATTAACCCTTTGGTTCCTGAACAATTTTAACCCTTCTGCCTGAGCTCCTGAGTCAAAAATCGCAAATAATTGGTATGTTATGTTTCACGGTAGATATTAAAAATACTTACAAGTGTTTACGCACCGTTCAACTGGGGGCTGGGCATTACGTCATTTTTCTCGATCACCCGCAAAGAGGAGGTCAGGTGTCTAAGGGTTAAAACGTAGTGTACTCTAGGCCAAGTTGAATCCCGTAAAGGCGGCATTGAGAGTCAAATGTGACTGTTATTGTCTTTAGCCACGTAAACTTAGTTCTAATAATTGGTCCAAATTTGGTGCAAACAAACTGATAGCTGATGGGATCGATACAAAACAGAATTTTCTTGCTCTATCGGCCGCAAGGTAAATATTTCTGGAACAGAATGAAGATCTACATTTGCTAGAAATCATCTTTTTCGTCTTTGTTTTTTATTTCTCTCCTCATTGGTAAGTGCTTCTAACATGATAACCCGAAAGAAGTTTGGACAATGATATTCCTACATATACCCCTTCGCTCTGTGTTTCAATTGAAGGAAGTCATTATCACAGCATGTGAATGACTTTTTTTAGTAGTACTTGCGGGGCTTTTTTGATAATTCTCACTCAGTTCTCTTCATTACTTATTGTCCTTTATTTGCCGTGTACCCTCAAGACATTGCCGTCATGGCTTTACACTGTTTTCTGTTCGTAGCTCTTAATAAATTTGTCTTTTCGTTATTTTTCTTAAACCTCGCTATCTATTAACTCAACATCATCACGTTAAGACTTGCGTTATTTATCTCTTTCTCTTCAATCTATTCTGTGAATATCATATTTTCCAAGTCCTCTTTCCTTCATTATTTTAACCGTCTATTTCTGATGATAAACATTAACTGTCGGTTTGGTTCCATTATATCTAAATCTTCGTAGTTGCTAACGATATATTAAAATCATTCATTTTTTTCTCTAATTTCCTGCTTTCTTTCTTCATTTTTTTCCTTCCATTGTCTCATTCTTCTTAATTCTTTAGATTTTCTCTTCTATTCTTCCTTGCTTTTTTTCGGTAAATTTTCGTTTGTTTTTACCCTTTTTTTATTTTGTTTTTCTCTTTTTCATTTCCGTTGCACTTTTCTCTCATTCCTTATTCTCTTTTCTTCACTTTTCCTTTTTGATTTTCTTCCACTGCTTAATCTTCATTCTGTATCTTTTCCAGCTTTGTGTTATCCTCTTTTACTAATAACGATTAACAGCATAATCTCCGTAAACAACAAAATTATTTACGTTTCCTTAATCATCAATACCTCATATTTCTTTCCTCCATCTTCGTCATCTCGACTATCAACGTCATGAAATATCGCTCCATTCCTTTAAGTCATTTTAATTTCTTTTCCTGTTATATATCGATTACTTATCGATTTCTCATGTATACCAGGGAAAAAAGTGAAGCATTTCGAGTATTTTTCTTTATTTATTACCATAGCAAACCATTTGAATATGACATATTCCTATTTTTTCTTTTTCTTTTTTAATCTCGGGGCCTTTTTTCTCTATCTACTTAGCAACCTATACCCCTTGTCATTTCATTTTCAGCGCCTCCATCTGCACAACATTGTGTAAAACGTGTTGACGCATATCCACAAGTACATAATGTTCTCGTCGACTCACTGACCCATTCGTTTGGGGGTGTCCCTCCTCGCAAATAGGTGGCTGCACGAAGTTCTTTTTTTGGTCGCACGCCCAAGTCAACCATTAATTTGGATGTGGTGAACACGTGCTGAAGGGAAAATAATCAATAAATGCTGACAAAGATTAGACGAAGAAGAAGAAAGGAAATAGGAGAAAGTGAACTAAAGAAGAAGAAGAAGAAGAATAGAGTTAAGTGATGGAGAAGAAAAAGAAGGAAGAAAGAAGACAAGCAGAAGAAGACAAAGAAGAGAAAATGAACTAAAATGAAAAGGAAGAAGCAGCAATCGTAATAATAGTATTATTATTATTAATAGTAGTAGTAGAAGAAGGAGAAGTAGAAGAAAAAGAAGAAGAAAAAGGAGACGACGACGACGACGACGACGAAGAAGAAGAAGAAGAAGAAGAAGAAGAAGAAGAAGGTCAGCTACACGGGAAGAGGATAGGCATCATCATCATCATCATCAGCAGCAGCAGCAGCAGCAGCAGAAGAAGAAGAAGAAGAAGAAGAAGAAGAAGAAGAAGAAGAAGAAGAAGAAGAAGAAGAAAAGAAGAAGAATAGGGTTTAGGTGAAGGAGGAGAAAAAGAATGAAGAATGAAGAATACAAGAAAAATACAAAGAAGAGAAACTGAACTAAAATGGGAGAGAAGCAGCAGCAGCAATAGTAGTAGTAGTAGTAATAGTAGTAGTAATAGTAGTAGTAGTAGTAGAAGAAGAAGAAGAAGAAGAAGAAGAATGAGAAGGTCAGCTAAACGGGAAGAGGATAGGCACCATCATCATCATCAGCAGCAGCAGCAGAAGAAGAAGAAGAAGAGGGTTTAGGTGAAGGAGGAGAAAAGGAATGAAGAATACAAGAAGAAAAAATAAACAGTACGTGAACTAAAATGGGAGGGAAGCAGCAACAATAGAAGAAGAAGAAGAAGAAGAAGAAGAAGAAGAAGAAAAGAAGAAAAAGAAGAAAAGAAGAAGAAAAAGAAGAAGAAGAAATCAATAAGAGCAGAGAACAATGACGAGGGCTAGAATATTTGCTGCGTCATCAAGTGCACGATTTAAAAGTCTGAAAATCAATCGCTTTTCTCGCGTTTTTTTTTTTTTTTTTTTTTTGGCCAAGGGGTGGACATTTGTTTGATCACAGTCTGACCAGTATTCGGGGAAATGGAAAAAAAATTCAATGCAATAAACGATATGTGAATAGGGTAATAACCTAAAGCAAACCTTTGATTATACGATAACCAACCACGATGTCTAATTATATAAAGACTCCAAACGTAAAAATACGCAGTCAACTGCACAATTATAACCCTTTTTATAATGTCGATATCATCTGAGTTATCCTGTACATATTTTTTCAACAGTAAATCTTTCTCTGTCAATGCACTTAAAACATTGCTTCACTGAATATCCGATATATCAATACAGCAAAGATGTCAGATCTAATTTCTCTTAATAATTTTGATCTTATTGATTCAAACATTAGAATTCGGCGCTATTTAAAAAGAACGCCATAGGTATTGACTTCTATACATCACAGAGACAATCAATAATTAAGTGTAATAGCGTCTTGGTAGCGGCTTCGTGCCCATTGCATGCAAGAATTTTCCCTGGGAGATTGGTGGTTTCTCCGTGATATCTCTAGGGCAAATAAGATTACAGGACAACGCCCTGCCCCCCCATAAATGACAGACGGTAATAGCATCAAGGAAAAATCTCAGTAGCGATTGTATGTGAAAATATTCTCGCTGTGACATTGTCACGACATTTGCTTGGGCATGTCGCCTGAGAGGGTAATTGGTGACCACTGTCGTCGTGAGAGAACTCCGGTGCGTCGCAACGTTAATTTCCACATGTTTCTTGAGACCAAAATATCAAAATTGAACTGTCTGTGCCTCTTCCTGAAAATCAATTAAGCCATACTTTCACCAAGAAAAAGTCTTTTTTTTGTTTCTGTTATGGTCCAGGTTAGGACCAAGGAAGAACAACACGAACACAAGAGTAGAAATAACGAAGGTATATTACACGAAATAATAATACAAGATGTGGAAGGTGTTAGTATGACTGTCAGTCTGGTTTGGAGTGAACTACTATCGGTTCGACTCGATTCGTCCCTCGCTCTCTTGAGAGGCGTAGTATACATGGTGTTAGGAGTTCATTCTGTAGTTATAGATAAGGACCCATGACACCCCCCTCACCAACTTTTACCTCGCAGGGGTCTTTAATATTTTATCCTCTTCGGATTAATCATCAAAGTCTCTGTAAATTTTCTTTTTCTGCTTGATTTCCGCTGTTCTGAAATTGCTTGATACCTTTGCGTATTCAATGTGTCAAATATTGTGTCCATTACTTTCTCCTCTTCCTGAGGTAGACCGTTAGAATCCTCTAACAGCCTCTTTCTGATCTGATTTAAGTGCTTTTTTGCGAGAACTTCGGACCCTGAATTATATAAATCACGTTCCCTATTTTTTGTTTCAGCGCAGCACTAACTGTATTTTCTGTATTGGCTGTCTTTATTGATCTTAGTCGGTTTATTTTATGGCTTTCGACCTTATATCGTTCTTTGTAGCTCTTAATAAATTTTGTATTTTTATTATCTTTCCTAAACCCTGTACCACCATTCATTAACTTCAACTCGCGTTGTTGTCCTCTGTCCCTCTTGCCTTCAATCTGTCTTGTGAGTATCAAATTTTCTAACTCGTCTTCCATCGTTATGTGCTTTAGAAATTTCAACTGTCTTACTGATGTTAAGTATAAGTGCCTTCTTTGTTTCCATTTTCTCTAAAACCTCCTCTTTGCTTACATGTTCAGTCGATGGTATTCTCAGAAACCTTCTGTAGAACCACATTTCTGTTGCTTCAAGCTTCATCTGTAAGAAGATTGTTCAGCAATCACTTCCATATAAGGGAACTGATATTACGTAAGATTTCAGTACTCTTTCCTTTGTAACGAAAGTTTCCTATTTCTTAATACTTTGCTTAGCTTTTGGATATATTAATAAAGGGGAGAGATAGAGATGGGGAAATGAGTGAAGCAGATTGGCAATCCTCTTGCTCGTGACTATCTAGCTGTTCGAGGTCGCGTGTGTTCGTTAAGAGGCAATATGTTCTCATTGAATATATTAATTCGTTGCTGATTCGTTAATTCACGGTCGTATGAAAAGACTCACAAGCAGCCACATCCTTCTTTTTTTGCTCTGGTTGATGTCAATCACCTAGATATGTTATCGTATACTGACTGAAATATATCGTATCTCAAAAATCCGATATATTTCCAACAACATTTTTGGTTGTTTATTAGTAAAGATATTTGTCTTTTCCTTAATCTTCAAACTGAAGTTATTTTTTTTGTCACACACTGTGAAAAGTCGCTTTGATCTAAGAGATTCTTTGATGATATATCCGCTGCAATTTGGATTACACTGCAGACCTAGTCTTCACTTTAAATATTTCCTGCTTTCTCTTTATATGTGAGGCGATTGTCGCTGCATCCAATGCCATACATGATGGTTGACATTAACTAACAGTTCAGCACTCTTTTCGAAATATATTTTCCTGATTCTTAGTAGTTGGCTTGGTTTTAAAGTACATATATAATCTGGCTACAATCGTTTGACTTTTAAATCTTAAAGATTTAACAATTCTTGAATCGTAAGATGATGTGCATATAACATTAAATATTCAAATAGAAGATTGGTTGGTTGAATTTTGTTTAACGGCATATCGACATCTTTATGGGTTATTGAATGCTGAAATCTCAATATTTTGTACGCAGAGTTATGCCTTCAATTACATAATTTTATAATTTCAGCATAAAAGTATGTGTTTTAGACATATAGGCTGTAGATGATAAAATGCATTGTTGTTAATTTAAAAAATGTTTTGTTTTGTTTTGTTTCTTTGTTTAAAACTTAACGACCCATCGATCAGCAAGAGGTCATTTAAGGTCAAACAGTGGTTTTTTTCTTTTTCTTTAAATAAAGTTGAAATGCTTTCAAAAAGACCTTCCCTTTCCTTTCCTTCTTTTTCGATGTTGTCTTGCTTTTTTTTTTTAAAAAAAAAATAAATAATAATTCATTGTTTTCGGAGGTGCGTTGTTCTTTGAAAATTTCTCACCTGGCAAGTATCAAAGATTCCCCTTTCATCATCAGACACCAAATTGGAATTATATTTTATTATATAGTCCAACTTTCCTAAGAAAGGTCAAGATCACATTGGGGTTTGATTTTTCGAAAAATTCTTTCAAGTTGTTCACGTTAAGAAGTGGTTTTATCCCGTATTCACATAGGACACACACACATAACTCACTCCTTCCTTCTAAAAGACAAAGATCCTCCTGAATGCATAGCATGCCAGGAGGCTTATAATGTGAAGCACTTCCTGATTGATTGCGGTGACATGGCACATATTCGAAAAAACAAATGTATTGCTGGTAATTTTTTTTAGATATATTGCAGGTAATTTCACGACAAAAATATATTGTTGGTAATTTTTTCCAAAAATATATTACTAATAATTTTACGATAAAAATATATTTTTATACGTTTTTTAGTGTTGTATTGTCATTTTATTATAAAAGTGTTGGTCATTTTACAATAAAAATGTATTGTTAGTAATTTTAGTGTAAACAATGTACTGCTGTTTTTTTGTAACTTCATAATTTGCCCCTAGCTGGGACGAGGTTTAGGGTGGATCAGGGAAAAGCAGCAGTTAAGAAGTGGTTTCTTTGGTCTTCGAAACCTCAAATCGCCTGACCAGAGTGCTCGCTGTCAGATTCAGTTTATAGTTATATTCAGGACGGTCAAATGGAAGAGCTCGTCAAATAAATATTTTCAATCGTTTAAAAGTGTTACCCACTATGATCGGATGCGAACAGATTTCACCGATACAAAGATTGCTGGTGAAAAAAAAAGGAATTCTCTAAAAATCCTTTTCTTTTTGAGCGCATGTTATACCATTTTCACTTTAGCTACATCAGGGGTTTTCTTTCTTTTCTCCCTTCTACCATTTGTTCGTTTCCTCTTTCATTCTCCTGCTTCTGGCTTTTATTAATGAGATGAGTTTCATTTGTAGTCCCTATTTTCCATCGTCTTGTCTCTCTTTCATTAATTTTGTGTTTAAATCCGGCTTTTTGTTTTCTATTTCATTAATTTTTGTCTATGCAATTAATTTCCAGTCCTTTGACGAAATTTCGTTATCGTCCCTCTTTCTTTCTTTCTTTCTTTCTTTCTTTCTTTCTTTCTTTCTTTCGACTCGTGTTAGCTCCTTTCTTTTGCAATCTATCTATCTATCTATCTATCTATCTATCTATCTATCTATCTATCTATTTCAATCTGCTCATTATCTCTGTGCCTTTCTGTGTTTCTCTGTCTCTGTCTGCCTTTCTGTCTGTCTGTCTCTCTCTGTATATATATATATATATATATATATATATATATATATATATATTTCTGTTCATATTTATCTCTTGTGCGCATACCTCTATGTCCTGTTCAGGTCTATGTTTCTATCTATTAGTGTCATTTTTAGTAGACCTTTCTTCTTTCTTTCTTTCTTTCTTTCTTTCTTTCTTTCTTATATTGGTGCTGACCCATTACTTTTACTTGCAATTGTATTTCTCTTTTTCTTCTTTTATTACCTTTTCTTTACTTGGATTGGTCGTCTTAATTTTACTACTAATCACTTTCTTTCTTTCTTTCTTTCTTTTTTTCTTTCTTTCTTTCGTTTATTCCTTTCTTTTTCGGCTTCTTCATTCGTTCCTTCTTTCTTTTTTCTTTTATTTGGGTTTACTTCTGTATTTTACTCGCATCTACTTCTACTTTTGTTTATTTTCTTTCTTTCTTTCTTTCTTTTTTTCTTTCTTTCTTTCTTTCGTTTATTCATTTCTTTTTCGGCTTCTTCATTCGTTCCTTCTTTCTTTTTTCTTTTATTTGGGTTTACTTCTATATTTTACTCGCATCTACTTCTACTTTTGTTTCCTTTTCTTTCTTTCTTTCTTTCTTTCTTTCTTTCTTTCTTTCTTTCTTTCTTTCTTACAAAGGACACTATTAATCAAGCAATTTTTACTTCACTTGTCGAAACCAATTTGCATTTCCTTTCCTTCCTCTTTTTTCCCCAAAACAAAAGAATTACTAAATTTTCTCCGCTCTTTGGAACATCGTAACCTGATCAGATAATCAATCCTCAGAAGAAGAAATACAAATCATTAGATTCATGTCTTCTTTGTCGATTCCCATTTTCACGGATATTTTTCTTGCGTTTTCGTGACGGAAACACTTAATAAACAATAGAATTACTCAAATTTGATATTTTAAATCAATCTTTCTATGACTGAGGATTGTTTTGCATTATCTTTCATTTTGTTTCAGAGCGTGTGCATTCGTCAAGATATCTTTTTCAGTTTTAGACGCTTCCCACCATGGAAATTTAACGCTCTCGAAAATCTTTCCGTTGAGCACTGTTAAGATATTTGTAAATTCTATAAACAGCAGCTGTCAGCGCTAATGCATCAGTCTTCATTAATGAATAGAGCACTCTGGATGTCTACCGTTTGTTTACATTCGAGAAAAAAAAAACAATACGCAAGAATTCGTCTTTCTCTCTGCCGAATCGCCGATGGCTTTGGGCGTAGACACTTCAGCTAATACCAGACGGGTTGGGTCTCGATATTGGCTTGAAGCATTCGGTTGTCTAGTGGAACTGATGAGTTGTGATACAGCGAAACAGTCCTGAATTCGAATGACATTATATATATATATATATATATATATATATATATATATATATATATATATATATATATACAGAAGAAAAAAGTTTAAGACCGTTGGTCAAAGTTTTATTCATTTCAGAATATATTTCGAATAAAAATATATAAATTTTATTGTGTAGGTTTTATGTAGAAATTATTTCTCTTTCGAATGATGTAAAAATTATATATTTTTCTACAAACTGAAAAATTTTAATGCTGGATTAATTTAAATTATCAAAATTTGCCGGCAAAATAAGTTTAAGACCGCATGGGTATTATTATATTTAAAGGAAGGTATTATAGTAAAAATGAGCCAAAAAAAAAAAAAAAAAAAGATATTTAGCAATATTTAGAGCCGAAAGCTTTATTATTAATTATATCTTCACATCGCCTAGGCATCGAGCTTGATAAGTGAGCACAAAAATAATTTGAAACGCTCTGCCATATTTGCTTAAAATAATCGTATAATTGGGCTAAATTTGTCCTTTTTTAAGCGTGAACACTTTTAGAAATATAATTCCATAAATTTTCAATCAGATTAAGATTCAAACTCTCTCTTCCTCTCTCTAAATATATATATATATATATATATATGACGTCACACACTACGAAATGGACAAAATATAACGTATAACAATTAAATATATTAAAATAATTGTCAGACTTCGTCCATTTTGTAGTGTGTGACATCATTTGTTTGCGTTTACATATACTTCGAGCAGATATGAACGTTCGAAGCAAATCATGGGAAATTATAGTTTAAAAGCAGTAAAATCGACTTTGCTAACCAGACGTTCCTCTGTAGCTAAACTGGCATATCACGTCAGGCTATATGACGGTTCTATGTAGTATATAGTTTCGATTCCTGTCGGAAGACACATATATTCTAAGAAATTTTTCAGACTAACGATATACGATTTTTTATATAGAAAAAACAATTTTAGAGGAGAGAAGTATGAAAAACTAGTAAAAATCACATTAAGATTCGGACTCTCTCTCTCTCTTTGTATGTCTGTATATATATACACATATATATATATATATATATATATATATATATTTACAAAACATATTTTATATTCATATGCTATTTTGAAATTGTTGAAACTTGACTAATGCATGGAATAATAATGCAACACAAAATGTACTTAGAACGAAATGTATTGAAACAAGAAAGTGTACACAATATTTACATATAGTCTTTTGTATATTCCTGGTAAGACCGTTCCTGGAGAATGTGTTGACTGAGTCGCAGTCGGGCAGAGTCTCTGGTTGAATCTCTTGATTCCTCCCTCTCTTCCCGGTACCAACCATATTTATATGGTCGGTATTCCACTATGCAAATTAGGTGGATCCTACCACAACAATATATATATATTGGTTATATTTTGCCTGCATGTTTTCATTGTCATGTTTCATTGAATAAGATTTGTCTACTCATTTTGAAGTGAATCGTTTGAAGTTTCAGATGAAGACAGCCATTTTATCTAATACAATATTTGTATTGCAATAAACAATACCCTGATGATGACATTGTACTATGTCGAAAGCACTCGGAATAAAATATATGTATCTACACGGCGATTTTCTATCTTACATTAATAATGACACCAAAATGCTTGTCCGTGGTTATGAAAGGATCCAACTGAAAATAAGTAGAGAAATCTATCTATCTATCTATCTATCTATCTATATATATATTAAGTAACTATAACAACAAAGACATTTCGATTTCATTTTTGCCTTGAAAAAGTCGGAAGACGAAACGCGTCGGCAAAATCTAAGATATATTTTCCAATTGTCATTTTATACCATATATATATATATATATATATATATATATATATATATATATATATATATATATATATAAGAATTACTGGATGTTTATTTATAACCCATGTAACCAATATATATATATATATATATATATATATATATATATATAAAAGAATTACTGGATGTTTATTTATAACCCATGTAACCAATATATATATATATATATATATATATATATATATATATATATATATATGTTAGTTTATTCTCAGGATATTTTCTAGCAGTTATAATAGTGAGTGAGGTAAAAATTTTTCCAGCAGTAAAAGCAGACTCGGATAAAGAAATTCCAAAATCTCCTACAGAAGGTAGCGACGGAGAGAGAGAAGAAGGGACTAAGCATAAACTACAAGAAGATGGAGTGCATGGTGGTCAGTAAGAGGATGAGACCGAAATGCAATCTGAAGGTCGGGAACACTAGAACCAAGCAGACGCGGAAGTTTAAATATATGGGAAGTGTTTTGACAGAGGACAGTAAGTGCGACACTGACACTTGTAGACGTATTGAGATGGCTAAGGACCAAAAGAATATATATATATAACACTGAATCGTGATTGTCTGTTTCAAAACTTGAGTGAAGATCAGACTAATGATCTCTTAATTAGAACAGACATCCTCTCTTCAGTGCAGTTTTCTATGTCAACAATATATCTTTGACTTTTTAGATGTTTGACATATCCATATCGATATACATATATTATTCTTACCATTGAATTCATTCTATATATTAATCTGAATGCTTGCGTCCATTGTTCTGCTCTTCAGATGTCATTGATACCCAAGCCTTCATCGATTGTTCCAGAAACGGTCACTCCGGGTCTTGTTTCCCGTGTAAGTTCGTTACATAACCTATCGACGTCAACTATCTAAGAAGCGATCAGATCAACGCAGATTAACTTCTGTGACCGGATTATAATTTTTAACATGACACCGTCTGCATTATCTAATTCGTTTACAGTGCTGTATGTATTTATATGACCAGCATATGAATGACGACTGTAGCTGATTTAGTATTCTATTGTAGGAGTTTCCATGTAGATGCATTGCATGTGGGCGTCAATATCATTCAATCCCCACGAGTTTTAAAAGTCTTGAATTTAAAAGTCTTCAATTCAATTTAAAAGTCTTCAATTTAAATTCAATTAAAAATCTTCAATTTAAATTCAATTAAAAGTCTTCAATTTAAAATCTTCAATTTAAATGTCTGTAAAGAAAGCACGGACTTCAAGAGAAAATGATTAATTGTGAAGTCTCGTAGAGACCTTGCCATAATCTTACTTATTATAAAACGCAGACTCTCTGTGTGTGTGTGTGTGTGTGTGTGTGTGTGTGTGTGTATGTTTATATATTGGATCGGATTTCCTACATTTTTCAACTGATTCAAAAAATTTCAAAACTTCACAGGACTACGTAAAATTACCTTGCGGTGGTTCTGACAGCGCCAAAAATTAGAAAAAACACAATTGTTTTTGCACGAAATCAATTTGAAAACACGATTAAGAGGCATCAGGAGAATGAAAGGGGGACAACTCATATCGTGTTATATTTATTATAAAACCCAGGTTGTGTGTGTGTGTGTGTGTGTGTGTGTGTGTGTGTCTTCGTTTATATATGGGATCGGATTTCCTAAATTTTTTAACCGATTTCAACAAAACTTCAATTTTTTTTGGCAGGTAGTGTTTCTTATTGTCTTGCACACTTTTTTCTTTATTTTTATATTCAGAATGCTTTAAAAATTCCATTTACAAGACAATTGTTTATAATAAAATTTTATTCAATCGGTAGACTCATAACGACAGAAAACAATGTTTTTGTTTGAGTTTGGGTTTGACCAATTCGTAAAAAACAAAAAAAAAAAAAAAAAAAAAAAAAAGAAATAATTAAGACATGCGTGTCCATCAACCTTAAACAATAATCTTTGTCAATTTTATTTTTCAGTCTTTATGATGGTCGATACTTGATCTATCTCTTACTGTTACATCCCCGGGCAACGCCGGGCTCTACTGCTATTACATTTTATAGGTTAGTCATCGTCAGGGTTACAAGTTACTAAAAATTAAGAATAGTTAAGCATTATTTTACTAATATTATAGTTTATTTTCGCAGTATCTACTTTAGCGCTTTTTTTTTTCAAGTCTGCGAAAATCTGTATAATGCAGAAAACCTTCCCCGTGCCATATATATGCAAAAACTCAAAGTGTAAAATCAGCTAAATTAGTTAAAAGCCCAGCTGTTGGGATAAATGTGCAGCGCACTTTATACCAACCATATGCATTATATCGAATCATAAATAACTCCTGTTTGTGTTTATCAACTTTATTCTTCTAAAACTGCAATTGCATTTTATTCAATTATATATTCGCTATTTACATTGCTCGTGCTATCATCCTCATCTTTGTTGCTATATTTATCACAGCGTTTCGGCCGTTGTACGCTCCGGCATTCTTCAGGTGGTTAGAATGTGGAACTGAAGTCTTTATTTCGCTCGCTGGGGTAGACTGTTCTAGTTCCACGTGCCATGTCTAATGGATGTCAGTTATCAGTTATCTCCTGTTAATTCTCCACCGCCTTAACCAGGTATTGAACATAATCCACTGTGTCATGTGTCCTTGAGGACACATGCCACAATGGATAAAGTCGTTGGTTAGATCCAGTGACAGGATCCAAAGAGTGTGAGTTCAATACCTAGTGGAGAACTTGGAGAGGAGAATTAAGTGACTGGCAACTCCTATAAGCTTAGACGTTAGATTAACTTTCATATACCTATTGTCATTATTTAAAAGGCTATTATGCGGATTAAAAATGTTATCATTGATAATATTTATTCTATTAATTTCTTCACATTTAATATTAGTACTTTGTTTCACTAAAATTATATCCAATAATTTCAAATTATATATTTGTAAAATATATTTTTTTCATTAATAATTTTCTTGCGATAACTTCTGGTTACACTGATATGAATACAGTCAGAATTTTTATATCTTAATTATTCCACTAAGACGTTTACAAGACCCAGGTTGTACAGATCATATAAAGGAAGATTTTTCATTGAATTTTAATCGTAACTCTACCGTTTTGCTCAGTTGTAATAATTACTTGATTTTTTTTATTTTTCATTTAATTGTAATCATAGCTTGTTTAACCAAAATAATACCTCATAAATATAGTCTAGGTTGTACTATTTACTAACAATTTTACTAATAACTAATTTGTTCTTGATTTGTTCTGCTGAAATTTACGTGAGTCTTATACACCCGTGCGTCTTATATGCCGTCAAATACGGTAAATTTCACAGCGTCTGTCGTTCGTGCGCATGCGTAGTCGCATGAACGTAAACAAATTTAGTCCGATGAAGTCTTATATTCACAGTGGTGAGTGAAGACCCTATATGAAATATTTATTAACATACTTGTACAATCGGCTAATATTTCTTGATTTGCTGTTCGACATTAGAATCTTTTTAACGGGACAAATTAGTCTTACTAAATTCCTATAGGCCATCTTTTTTAGAACTGATTACAAAAAAAAATATTTCACAGACTATTAATACTGCAGCGTGTAGTCCTTTCTTTTCTTTTTTTTTGCTAAAATCATTACAATTATGGTACGTTTAGTTAAATTACCTTCTTCTGTTCGGTATTCTCTTTGCACGGGACTAAGAAGAAAAAATAAGATAAAAAAGGGGAAAAATAATTATAGCGGCGTGAAAACCGATGCAAAGTGAGACGAGATAGAGAAAAACATGAAATCAGAAATCGAATAGTCAAGAGGTTATATGTATAATTTTATTAATTTTTTAAAAGACCTTTTAGTATATATAAAGGTATATATAAATGCTTACCAAATCTATAAAACAAATTCTTAAAATAAAACATGTCTTTTAAAACGGACATTGTAAAAGTATATATAAAAGTAGGTAACTCGAAGAATTTTCTAGGAAAAATCACACCATCATAAAAAATGCCACAAACTTGATAAAAACAAAATTTTATCGGAAAATAAAAGTTTAAATAAGAGAAAAGACCAAAACATTTTTATCATTTTATTAATTTTCTAAATCCTTTCTAGCAAGTTCGAAATTTTGGTTAAAAATCATTTTTTTGTCAGCAGATGCGCCAAAGATTATTATGAGAAATTTAGCGTCTTCTTTGCAGTTAGAAACACATTATTTTGAAAATGCTTGCAAAAATAAGAAAAATTGTCGGATTTTAATTAAATTTTCAGAACTTATTCGCAAATAAAAATAAATTATTTAACTAATATTTTTAAAAGAATATTTAATTTTTTATTACTGTATAAACATTTTTAGTATGGGAGACCATAGACGACATTATCAGAAAATAAAGGGAAAAATACCGTTAAAATAAGCAAAATATTAAGACATATCGTTCGATACGAAGAATACAAACCTGAACTGCTATTTAACATCTAATCTCCTCTATAACAGAATGCTAGACAATAGAAGAAGAAGAAGAAGAAGAAGAAGAAGAAGAAGAAGAAGAAGAATTGAGAGGAAGAAAGAAGAAGAAGCAGAAGATTGAGAGAAAGAAGGAGAAGAAGAATGAGAGAAAGAAGAAGAAGAATGAGAAGAGGAAGAAGAAGAAGGAGAAGAAAAAGAATGAGTGAATGAAGAAAAGAGTGAGAGGAAGAAGAAGAAAAAAATGAGGGAAGAAGAAGATGAAGCAAAAGAGAAAGAAGAAGAATGAAAGGAGATGAAGAAAGAAAGAAAGAAAGAAAGAAAGAAAGAAAGAATAGGAAGCATTTATCCATAGTGTCAGGTGTTCTTGAGGGCATCTGTGTATGAATTTCTGGGTATTATAAGACTAATGTCTTCAGAAACCATTTTTTAACCAGTGCTCTTATTGCAATTTTTGCTATTATCATTACATGGTTATTCTTTCCTTTTTTTTACTAGCGCTCATACTGCAATTTTCGTTGTTATTATTATCGCATTTCTCTGGCACTTCTGGTTCCCATATTGTGTTCATTTTTATGCTTGGTCGGCTCAGGAGATTTTTGTGGCTTAGCATATGTGCTGGTTCCTTAAGTTTACGAATTTTCCAATGATGTCCAAGAACATCATTGTAAAATCAACATTAGGTTTATAATACCCAGAAATCCATACTGATGTCCTCACGGACACATGTCACAGTGGATAAAGGCGTTAGTTGCATCCAGTGACAGGATCCGAAGAGTGTGAGTTCAATACCTGGTTAAGGCAGTGGAAAACTTGGAGAAGGGAATTAACAGGAGATACCTGACAACTGATATCCATTTAACATGGCACGTGGAACTAGAACAGTCTACCCCAGCGAGTGAAATAAAGGGTTCAGTTCGACATTCTAACTACCTGTAGAAGGCCGGAGCGTACAATGGTCGAAATGTTGTTATAAATATGGCAACAAAGATGAGGACAATAGACCGAGCAATATAAATAATGTCTCATCTCAGAAATATAGACAGATACTGTATATTTGCTGTCAGCAATTATGATAACCATTCCACATGAAATCAATACCAGGACTGAGGAAGCTATGTTAAGTTTATTTAAAATAACATATTCGTAAATGTACAGTCATTCCATTGATTGACTGACTCCTGTAGACTTATTCGAAACGATGCTAATTTTTTCTGTCTCCGGCGCTTGCATTAGATCGGGTGTGAGGAAGGTTTCTTAGAAGACTGCTTTGAGTTTCAGTGCAGAGAATTTGGGCCTCATTGGTGTTTTGCTGATAAGGCGTGGTTGTTGCTGTAGTCAGTCCTATTCACATTGGATGTTCTTCTTTTAGGATTATGTAGGAAGATAAGAATTTTGTGAATGTTATTTACTAAATAACTTGAGATAATCTCCACTTGTTTACTATTTCAATTAAATTTTTCAGCATTTAGATACTTTCTGTTTTATTTATTTTTCTTTCTTCCTTTCTGTCCATTTTCTATTCTTTCTTTCTTTCTTTATTTTAGTTATTTATTTATTTTTTTTTGTTCCAGACACTTTCTGTCAGTTTTCGATCTTTATTTCTATTTTCATTTCTGTCCAAATTTTTTTCTGTCTTTTATTCTTTCGTTCTGTCAGTTTTCTATCTGTATTTCCCTTTTCTTTCTTTCTTTCTTTCTTTCTTTCTTTCTTTCTTTCTTTCTTTCCAAATCTTTTTTTTTTTTCTTTTTAAATTTTTTACTTCATTTCTTTCCAAATATTTCCTTTTCTTTCTTTCTTTCTTTCTTTCTTTCTTTCTTTCTTTCTTTCCAAATATTTCCTTTTTTTTCTTTCTAAATTCTTATTTTCTTTACTTCATTCGTTGTTTATTTCTTTCCAAATATTTCCTTTTCTTTCTTTCTTTCTTTTTTTTCTTTTTTCTTTTCTTTTCTTTTCTTTCTTTTTTCTTTCTTTTCTTTCAAATATTTTTTTTTTTTTTTCTTTCTTTCTTTCCAAATTTTCTTTTTTTTTTCTTACTTCATTCGTTTTTTACTTTCTTTCCAAATTTTCTTTCCTTTTCTTTCTTTTCTTTCTTTCTTTCTTTCTTTCTTTCTTTCTTTCTTTCCTAGTCTTTTCCTATTCTTTTATCTTTCTTTCTTTCTTTCTCTCTTTCTTTCTAGTCTTTTCGTATTCTTCCTTTCTTTCTTTCTTTCTTTCCAAATATTTCCTTTTTTTCTTTCTAAATTCTTATTTTCTTTACTTCATTTATACTTTCTTTCCAAATATTTTCTTCCTTTCTTTCTTTCTTTCTTTCTTTCTTTCTTTCTTTCTTTCTTTCTTTCTTTCTTTTCTTTTTTTCTTTCCAAATCTTTTCCTTTCTTCTTTTTAAATATTTTCTTTTTTTCTTTCTTTTTTTTCTTTCTTTCTTTCTTTCTTTCTTTTTTCAAATATTTCTTTTTTTCTTTTTTCTTTCTTTCTTTCTTCTTATTTTTTTTCTTTTTCTTTCTTATTTTCTTTATTCATTTCCATTTATTTCTTTTCCAAATATTTTTTTTCTTTTCTTTTTTTCTTTCTTTCTTTCTTTTCTTTCTTTCTTTCTTTCTTTCTTTTCTTTCTTTCTTTTTTCTTTCCAGTTCTTTTCCTTTCTATTCTTTATTCTTTCTTTTTCTTTCTTTCTTTCTTTTTTTTCTTTCTTTCTTTCTTTTCTTTTCTTTCTTTCTTTCTTTTCTTTTTTTCTTTCTTCAAAAAATTTCTTTTTCTTCTCTTTCTTTTTATTTCCTTAAAAATTTTTTTTTTTTTTTATTCTTTTTTGTTTCTTTAAAATTCTTTCGTTGTTTGTTTTTTGCTTCTTTACTTTCTGTCCAAATAATTCATTCGTTATTTATTTTTTTTTCCAATTATTTTCTTTCGTTCTTTCTTTCTATTATAATTCATTTCCTTTCTTTCTTTCTTTCTTTCTTTCTTTCTTTCTTTCTTTCTTTTCTTTTCTTTCCAAATATTTCGTTTTCTTTCTTTCTTTTTTTCTTTCTTTCTTTCTTTCTTTCTTTCTTTCTTTTTGTCTGTCTCTCTGTATGTTTGTCAATGTGCTATATTTTTTTTTCTTTTTATCACTTTTATACTTTTATTTCTGTCCAATATTTTCCTTTTCTTTCTCTCTTGAAAATACTCCCTGTGCCAATAAACTAGTCTTGCCCGCATATGGCATGAAATTCTTTTTCTCGTTCCTATTTACATTTTCATAAAGATTTTCTACAGTTCTCTATTTCGTGGTTATCGACATCGAAACATTCGACTTTATAAATATTCATAACACCTTTTGTTTGTATAACTTTTTTAAAATTTTTCTTACGATCTTCATTTTACCATCATTACGACTAACATCACTTCATATTTTTACGCAAATATATTTATCAGGATCATATGCGGATCTTATCACATTTCAGCACTTATCATTTCGAGAAATCTTCATTCTGTTATGACTTCTGGATAGATTTCAATTTACAGATATTAATATTAATAACTGTGTTGTTTATAGCGTGTTTGTCATAAAGAGATCGCCTAGACGTTCAACGATGTATTTGTATGGTTAACAATGTTACTGTGTTTTAATTCATATAATACAGTATCCATGTTTTCGGACCCATGTATGCTCGGAGTATCTCATGTGATAAGTTACATACATAACTTATACTCTTCAAATTCTTCAAAGTGTTACAAAGATGATTTTAAAGATAGATGCTTTCATAAAATCTGAGGCAAATATTAAATGTGAAAAAAAATTGAAAAAAATTAAGTTGAATAAAAAGAAGGTGTAGGTGAAACTTAGTCCGAAAACAAATCTTATACCGGAAGAATGGGTTGATACAAATAAAATAATTAAAATAATGTACCTCTACTTTTTCGTGAAAAAAACCTCAAACAAACAGCATAATATGATGAAAAAAGGCCCCAAAATCAATACAAAGAAAGTTTTGTCATCAAAATGTTTGTTATTATTAAGAGAAAAGGGGAAAGTATTTTTTAATTATTTTTTTAAAATTTTTAATCCTTTCTAGCACGTTTAAAATTTTGGTTAAATCTTGTATTGCTTAAGTCAGCGGCCGACGTAATGATAATAATTATTTTTTTGCACTTTTTCCGGCGAAAAACACACTGACTTGGAAATTCTTGCAAAAATCAAATAATTGTCGGATTAAAACTTTCAGGACATATTCAGAAATGAATGAAATTATTTTTGAAATTTCTTTTCATAAAATCGTTGGAAAAAATATTTGTTTTTTACATATGTTGCCAATACCTGGTTAAGGCCGTAGAGAACTTTCAGAGGGGAATTAACAGGAGATAACTGACATCCATTAGACATGGCACGTGGAACTAGAACAGTCTACCACAGCGAGCGAAATAAAGGGTTCTAACCACCTGAAGAAGGCCTGAACATACAATAGTGTCTCATCTCAGAAATATAGACAAATACTATATATTTGCTGTCAGCAATTATGATAATCATTCCAACTGAAATCATTGCCAGGATTGAGAATGCTGTGTTAAGTTTATTTAAAATAACATATTCGTAAATGTACAGTCGTTCCATTGATTGACTGACTCCTGTAGACTTATTCGAAACGATGCTAATTTTTTCTGTCTCCGGCGCTTGCATTAGATCGGGTGTGAGGAAGGTTTCTTAGAAGACTGCTTTGAGTTTCAGTGCAGAGAATTTGGTCTTCATTGGTGTTTTGCTGATGAGGCGTGGTTGCTGCTGCAGTCAGTCCTATTCACATTGGATGTTCTTCTTTACTTAATTTCATGAAATTTCGAGAATTTCAAATTTTAGGGGAATTTTTTATTAGTTAAAAGCAGACTCCTTGGAGAAAGTAAATCTTCAAATTTTTGTAAAACAGTTACACATTTCACCGAAAATCTGCCCGGAATTGTAAAATTAAAAAAATGCAATAAAACTTTGACATTATTTAATTAGAAAAGGTTTTAATTGCTTTGATAAATATGGTTAATTAAGGAGACTATTGTCTTAAAAAGAAATTTTTTTTGTTGAAGAATTAATTTTTACAAGAATTGTTTTCATTTTTAAAAATTTTAATTAAATAATTTATAATATTAAAAAATCAAGGCGGCGATTTGGTGATATTGTTAAGTGAAAAGTCCATTTACGAAATCAAAATCAAAAATTGAAAAGCTCATAACATTCGTTTTTACCCAAATATTAAAAAAAAATTAAACAACAATTATTAGTGTATAGACTTTCCCAATTTCTTACTATGGTAAGCCATAAATGATATAATCTTTTAAAAGGTAACTTGATTTAGGAGTCGTCTGGCACTCTGAAATTCATTATTCAGTTCCCTTTAATCATTAATGTCTTTGCAAATCATCCCTTTTAAATTTCAAAGTAAGTTTTACTTTTTTAATTACTATTTCACTAAATATTTTTTTATATATTTATTTTAGATTGGGTCATACTTCAATGAAATAATTTTTATTTTCATAAATCATCTTCAAACGTTACTAAAAGTCAATAAAATATTAAATAATTGCTGAAAATATGTTAATTTGTAAAAAAATTACTAGGTTGTTACCCCCCCACCCCGAAAAATGTGTTCAGTTAGATTTCGTAAATCGATAATAACAACAAAACTCATTAATGCAATATGAGCTCTGGTAAAAACATGATATGATAACAGCAACAAATTGCAATATGAGCACTGGTAAATAATGATTGCTGAAGACATTAGGTTTATAATACCCAGAAATTCGTACATAGATGTTCTCAAAGCGTGAGTTAGATATAATGACAGGACTCAGAGTGTGAGTTCAATACCCGGTTAAGGCAGTGGAGAACTTGGAGAGGTGAATAACTACAACTGACTACCATTAAACGTCGCACGTGGAACTAGAACAGTCTGCTCCAGTGAGCGAAATAAAGGGTTCAGTTCGACATTCCAACCAAATGAAGAAGGCCGGAGCATACAACGGTTGAAACGTTGTAATAAAAATGGCGACAAAGATGGTGACAATAGTCCGAATATAAATAGTGTACATAATACCTCATCTGAGAAATATAGACAGATACAAAAGGAAATCGTCAAGTATGCTTTTTCATTTTTTTAAAATTCATTTTAAATCTTAGGTATCGAAAATTCAATGGACAAAACGGAGGAAACATTTTGATGAAATGTTAATGAGATTGAAAGGAAATGGGACTACAGAGCTTCACCTTTTATAAACCTATTTATGCATAAGGCGTAACTACAAGAGGGGCATTTTGAAAAAAAAAAATTCTAGCCTAATGTATTAGGCTTGATATCCAGAGCTGATTAAAATGATGACTATCTCGTGGAAATCAATTATAATTGGGTTAAATAATAATAAAAAAAATACATATGATAATTTTTTGTTCGAGAAAATCTTTGAACTCCATGACTTAGATCTGCCGATAGCTGTAAACGTGAACATATAGGAAATATGAAAAAAATGTTTTTCATAAAATTAGTTTAAAGTAGCAATGTTACACATCCATGCAAGGCCCAGTTTTATTTTGTTTGCTCTGTTGTGCTATGAATTCGTTTCTGAGAGATTCGGGCCACCTTTAAAACCGTATGATAGAAAATGCTACAATTAAAGAAATTCCATAGATTTAAACATGTTGATAATATACATATACATCAACATTATATTATTTTTCAGATTTGAGACACATACTAACGATAGAAAATGCTAATGTTACTTTATTTCTCATTTCTTGCCTTTGTTTTGTTACAGTGGAGAAATAGTTAGCGGTTCGAACTGATGTATCGGGGTGCCGAGTTCGAATACTTGCCGAGTTCGAATACCAGTCGAGTTCATTACATTCACTTATGTACTAATACCCTTGGAAAAGGCATAAATCCAACTCTCCCAGCTATGGATAACATAGCAGGACACACTGGGTCCTACAGCCTTGGTGGCCACCAGCCTAGGAGAAGAAAACTCTAAATTCTACACCATCTACTATCTTGTAGATTTTACCTGTTTAGAAGAAGTTAAGTTCAAAAATAAAACCACCTCTGAGATATGACACGGGGTAACATCAAAATACAAAAAAAAAACGGTAGAAAAAGAATCAATAAGCCATTGCACTATTCTGAATGTCACCATGAAACAAAATTGTGAGATGGAGAGGAGTGGTAACCAAAGCAGAATAAAATGATGATGCTTTCTTTACTCCCAAGTTATGATGAAAATGTTCAATTCACCCAATATAAGACTAGAAAGCCTCTCAAGGTATAGTGTTACTGTTAAAATGTTTATGATGAATGAGGTTTATAATATGAATAAGATGGCTGTTACGAAGTGAAGCTTTTAATGATCGGATAACGATTGGGCTTTAATTTGAACAGGTTAAGATGGTATTGGCGAGGAAAGCATTCCCGAAGGAGTTTGTTCCACAAGGTTACAGTTATTAGGAACAAAGCGTCAAGTAGAACTTTTCTTTTACATTAGAAATGCGGAACAAATATGGATGATTTGACTCAATAAAATATGGTGTATTCTAGCTTTAAATGTCTGTAATAATGAAACTAATTTTTTATTAATAACATTCACCCTGTGCAAGTCCCAAGAGCGATCCGATGTAGAGGGTTACAGATTAAGAGGCAGAGTTTATGGGAATATTTGGGGAAAATAGCGGTTAACTGAATACGTAAACAGTTTAAGATTGCAGTGATCGGGGAAGCATCCACTTGGGAGTTGGATTCATGAAATAGCAGTTCGTGAGAAAAAGCTGCTCGATCTCATCTGACTGTACCTTTGCCAAAGGCTTGCGACATTGCCTCTGCGGGAAAGGGTTTGCACAGCGGTGAATGTATTGTCCCACAAGACCGCGTAAACAATGTTCAATGCAGTTATAGGAGAAGCATCCTCTCAGAAGTCTGTTCCATAGATCAGCGGCACTTGCGAAGAAGCTGTACGAATGAGAATTCTTTCTGTCTAATGGAATACGAATAGAATGAGAATGGTTCGCTTTGTGTACATAGTATAGCGGGTCTTAGCTGTAAAGGTCTAAATTGGTGGAACTCAGTGAGGTAGTTCGTCAGAACTTTTCCCATAAAAATAGCCATAGTTAGATGGTTGTGATGATTCGTTAAGGGGAAAGGGTTGTAGATTAAAGAACAAACCATCATTCACTGGGCTGTATAAACAACTTTCAGCACTATTAGGACGTAAAAGTGTGGATTGTGCAGCTCCAGAACAGATATGGCAGCAATACGTCATTTATGGTCTAATCAAACTCTTGTAAAGATGAAGCATAGCAGATTGATGCTATCAAGGCTGGAAAGCGTGATTGAACAGCTCCAGCCCAGATATCGCAGCAATACGCCATTTATGGTCTAATCAAACTCTTCTAAAGATGAAGCATGACAGAAGGACGCTATCAGCACTAGAAACCGTGGATTAACAGCTCCAGCCCAGATCTGGTAGCAATACGCCATTTATTGTCTAACAACTCTTGTAAAAATGAAGCATAGCAGAAGGACTCTATCAATTCTGGAAAATGTGAATTGTTCAGCTCTAGCACAGATATGATAGCAATACGCAATTTGTGGCCTAATCTGCTTCGTTTAAAGATGAAGCGTGGCAGAAGGATTCTATCATGGATGGAAAGTGTGGATTGTGCAGTTCCAGCCCAGACATGGCAACAATACGCCATTTGTGGTTTTATCTAGCTCTTGTTAATTTGAAGTATGGTAGAACCACTTTAACAAGGAAGTAATTTTTTAAAAAAAACTGAGTTACAGTTGTCTTCAGTAAATAATATAATTAAAAACGTGACTTTTAAAGGTAATATAATCAATGTGATATTAAAAAGGTTTAAGTGCATTGTAGATGCTTTTGAAGTAACGTCAAGGTTGGAAAGTGATAGTTAGGGAACTCTAAACCAGACATGGCAGCAATTTTCCATTTTTGGTCTTATCTGGTTGTGTAAATATAAAACATGACATGAAGACTTACTTAATTCATGGACCATTTCTCTACTATCTGTAAGAATGGATTCCCTATATAAGATCTACCTGTGGTCTGGAGTGAACTTGAAACCCAACAAGCGTTCATCGTGACTGGAGAAAACTCAGAGTCTGATTGATGAAGGATACTGGACTAGGTTGTGTGGTAATGATGTTAAAGCTAATTTTTCCCAACATACGCCTTGATTTTTTATGTTAAATTGTTTAGTGCTTTTAAAACGGTAAATAGTTTTATTTCAATAAATAAATAAGTATTACAAAAAAATCATCAACAAAACAATCGCTTAGTTATATAAATAAGAAACACATTGCGAATCACTAACAAAACTTATTCGAAAACCAATTGATTTTTAAAGCTATGCAAATTAATTAACTCCATTAGATGTAAACCACTACGCTGACCAAAATATAAAACACATGTTGATAGGTATCAGTGATAAACACACATTTATTTGACATCGTAAGCTTACACAATGGTTTAAAAAAAACATACGGACAGCTAATCAACAGTGCGTACAGATAATTAATTAGTTTTGGTACAAATCTAAATTATAACTTTAATCGATTACAAGATGGTCGGACGACGGGAATTCGAACTATATTTATTAAACCAGTTATTTGAAACGCTTTTCTTAATTCTTTGATTGGTATTCTGTTTCAGACTGTTGTTCTTAGTAAATCTCTTTGTTCTCTGAGATTTAGGTTATATCCAGGGAATATTTTCCGTCTCTGTTGAGTGGACGAACAACGACATTTATTTACGTTTTTTGTTTCGCTTTCTTCTTTTAGCGTCCAATCATTGGTTTATCTTCGTAATTCATTCCAGATGGTTGAAGTCGGGGACTAATGAGCAAGAGGAGTCTCGTTGA